ATTCCCACCTTCCTGTCTCCTTTTGGGTTGAAGCCCTTGCTACCGCCAACTACCTTATAAATCGCCTACCCACAGCCACCCTAAATAACCAGTGCCCTTTTGAAGCCCTCTATGGTCGGCCTCCGGATTATGTTCACCTTCGTCCTTTTGGTTGTCTTGTGTATCCCTGGCTTCGTCCTCACACAGATCACAAGCTTCAACCACGTTCCACCCCCTGCATTTTCCTAGGTTATCATCCCACCATGAAAGGTTACAAGTGTTATGATCCTATTTCTCAGAAAACATATGTCTCCCGTCATGTTCGTTTTGTAGAAGATTAGTTTCCCTACTCTAAACTTCTATCTACCCCAGCCTCCTCTAACCCTTTAGGCATCATCCCCATATTTCCTCCCAGACCAGGCTCACAGGGTCCGGCACCGCACAGTTCTCAAATCGTTCCATCTGCTACTGCTCCGCAAACGGTCGACCGTTCCCCTCATACATCAACCCACGGTCGACTGTCTCCTCACACTCGTTCTGAATCTCTACAGACGGTCGATACCATTACCCGTCCACCCTCACACGGTCGACCGTCGACATCACTGATCCCCACAACAAATTCCCATCCCATGCAAACCCGTGCCAAATCAGGCATTTTCAAGCCTAAAACCTATACTGCTACCACCACTGATACCTCTCCTCCTACCTCTGAACCTCACACCTATCACCAAGCCTCCAAGAATAGCTATTGGTTCCATGCCATGGATGAAGAATTTGCTGCTCTGAATGAACAGCGCACATGGGATTTGGTGCCCCTACCCAAGGGTCGAGATCCTATTGGTTGCAAGTGGGTGTATCGTATAAAACGGAATCCGGATGGCTCCGTCTCTCGGTACAAGGCTCGTCTAGTGGCCAAAGGGTACCATCAAGAGTATGGTATCGATTATAAAGAGACATTCAGCCCGGTTGTCATGCAACAAACCATTCGTCTGGTACTCACTCTTGCTCTACACTATGATTGGCCTCTTCATCAGCTTGATGTTGCCAATGCCTTTCTCCATGGTACACTCGATGAGGATATTTATGTCTCAACCACCGGGCTACGTCAATCCCAATAGGCCTGAGTTTGTTTGCAAGCTGCGCAAATCTTTGTATGGCCTTAAACAGGCTCCTCGTGCTTGGTACACCTGTTTTGCTACTTTTTTGCAGGGACTTGGCTTCCAGTGCTGTCGTCATGACACCAGTCTGTTCACTTTTCACAGCTCCCGCGGCATGGTCATTGTTCTCCTATATGTTGATGACATCATTATTACAGAGAGCTCATCTGATCTCATCTCTTCTGTTACTCAGGCTATGCATAAAAATTTTCGCCTCAAATACTTGGGCCCTCTGGACTTCTTTCTTGGCATTGAGGTTCGTCGCTCTGCGGATTCTATCTTGCTTCATCAGACAAAATACATATTTGATCTTCTTCAGCGGGCTGGCATGACTGATTGCAAACCCACTGTCACTCCGATGGCGGCACGGCAAACCCAGGAGATCTCGTCCATCTTCTCCGACCCAAAATTGTTCCGTAGCCTTGTGGGTGGGCTAACGACAAAGATGATCGTCGTTCCACCACTGGATATCTCCTTATGCTGGGGCCGAATCTTATCTCATGGTGCACAAAAAGTCAGACTCGCGTCTCGCGCTCCTCCACCAAAGCTGAGTATCGCGCTATGGCCGCGGGGGTGGCAGAGGCGATGTGGCTTCGTTATATTATGGATGCTCTGCATGTTCCGCCTACGAAACCTAAGATTTATTGTGATAATGAGTCCACAATCTGTGTCACCAAGAATCCCGTTCTCCATGATCGCATGAAGCATGTTGGCTCTGACTGTCACTTTGTTCGAGACGAGGTTATGGCTGGCACTATGACTACTCATCATGTTCCTTCTTCTGAGCAGCTCGCTGACATCTTGACAAAACCGCTTCCGCCGACTCCGTTCCATTATTTGTGTTCCAAGCTGCCCCTCGTATCCGTTGATCAACAAGCATAATTATAATATATAATATTAAATATATTAAATAACTGATATATTTAACATGCTCCCAACATCCTAAACGGTGAAGATTGAACGCCAACTTTAAATTGAATGATGACCAAACTCGTGATTGGAAACTAGAGACATATCTTCGACTAAATAGCCTGAATGCATCCGGACCATAAGAGAAGAAGAATGATTGTTGAGAAAAATGTGTCTGCTTCGAGGAGGATGGGAGAAGAGCCGTTGCGGACAGACTCATGCCGATGACATCGAAGAAGGGAGAATATTGACGTGCGCTGGAGTTGTGCACGACTGGGTTAGAGAAGAAACACAAGGAATGAGGTACTGCCGGAGATGCATGTTGACTGAAGATCTGCCGACTAAGTAGGTTGAGGTGTTGATATGATCTAAAATCACGAAGCGGTGGTGATGGATCTAGAGCCAGATGGAGGAGTATGGAAGATCATTATTGGAGGAACAAGTGGGAATGAGGCCACCGTCGCCGGATAAATCACCGCCGATGGCGGCAGAGGAAGCAGATTGTATTAGGTCACCAAGAACAAAGACTCCGATACTATGTAAAAATAATAAAGAACGCAATAAGAGAGGAATACAAATTATGTATTTATAGGTGGAGGAATATATTTTAGAATCCTCCACATTAATGACTAATTATATAAGGTAATATTATATGATAATAATTCTAACTATAATAGGCAACAAGCATAATTATAATATATAATATTAATTATATTAAATAATTGATATATTTAACATTTTTATAGAGAATTGGGTATGAGAGAGTACAAAAATGTAGGAGAATAAAAACGGTGAGACTAAAGGGTTTAAATAAGGGGGAAAATTTGCACAAATACTCTGAAAGAATTGTATGGGAGAAATTTCTCTTGTATTTCTGATGATTACAATTTACAACCAAGGCATGTATATATAGATTCTCACAAGTCGAGAATCCCAACTAAACAAGGAAAGGAAATCCCTATACAAGTAAACTACTAATATAAGGAAATTACCAAAACTAATATATACGAAAATATATTCCAAATATTTGCTTTCCTTTTACACACCCCCTCAAGTTGGAGCATGTAATAAAGAAATGCCCAACTTGGGAATAAGAAACTCAAGTCGTGACTTCCCAAGCGCCTTCGTATGAATATCTGCGAGCTGATGTGTAGTAGGGACATGCGACGTGCGAATCTCTCCTCGTAAAAGTTCATCACGAACAAAGTGACAATCAATCTCAATATGCTTCGTGCGTTCGTGAAAAACTGGATTAGCAGCAATATGAAGAGCTGTAGTGCTGTCACAACGAACAGTCATAGGGTTCTTATGTTCAACACCTAGACATCGCAACAAGTTCTTCAACCACTTCAACTCACACGTAAGGACATCAAGAGCCCTATACTCAGCCTCAGCAGACGAACAAGCCACTGTCGTTTGCTTCTTTGTCTTCCACGAAACAGGTGAGTCCCCAAGTTGCACAAACCAGCCTGTCAACGATCGCCGTGTCAAGGGACATGCTGCCCAGTCCGAATCACACCATCCTGTGAGCTGTAGATTATTATCTGCAGACAGGAAAATACCCTGCCCAGGACATCCCTTCAAATAACGGACCACCCCAAGTGCTGCAGACCAGTGATCCTCCCTAGGTTCCTTCAGAAATTGTGCTAAAGTGTGTACTGCATAAGAAAGCTCCGGTCGTGTAACAGATAAATATACTAACCGTCCCACCAAACGGCGATATGGTTCCGGATCTGTCAGAAGGGGAGCTTGGGAACGAGCCAAATGATGGTTTGGCTCCATGGGTGCACCTAACGGCCTGGCGCCTAGCAATCCGGCTTCAGTAATGATATCCAAAGCATACTTCCGCTGGCAGAGAAATATCCCAGACGTGCTCCTCGCCACCTCAATGCCAAGAAAGTATTTCAGTGTCCCCAAGTCTTTCATATGAAAACAATCCCCTAGATATGCCTTGAACTTGCTCACCATATCTGAATTATCTCCAGCAATAATCAAATCATCAACATAGATCAAAACATGTATGACTCCTTTCTTTCCTACGAAAGAAAATAAGGAGTAATCTGGAAAAGACTGGACAAACCCATAGCGTCTCAAAGCTCCAGACAACTTGGCAAACCAACACCTTGGAGCTTGTTTCAAACCATACAAAGATTTCTTCAATTTGCACACTACATTGGAAGAATTAGAAAAACCTGGTGGCAGGCTCATGTACACTTCATCCTCAAGATCTCCATGAAGAAAAGCATTGTGTACATCCATCTGATGCAACTCCCAACCCTTTGCAGCTGCAACAGCTAGAAGAGTTCGTACTGTAGTTAACTTGACCACAGGAGCAAATGTTTCCTTGTAGTCAAGTCCCTCAACCTGATGATTGCCCAGTATAACCAATCTTGCCTTATACCTCTCCACACTGCCATCAGACTTGCGCTTGATTTTGTACACCCACTTGCAGCCCAGGGGCTTTTTATGACGTGGAGGAGCAACCAGCAACCACGTTCCAT